AATATTGCTAGAAAAATTGAAGCAATATGACAAAACCACACCGACAAATACGAGAGTTGATGTTTTTCCAATGAAGTGGTGGTTGTGAAATAATGCTTTTAATTGGTTACTTTAAATTGAACTTATTCAAAAATATTGATTAACGTAAAAATATACTCTTTCTATTCGATCTAAGTTAGCTAACCGCCTATTAGAGCAAGGCATGCTTTCTACACTAAATTCACTCGTTCTTACCTTCGGCCTTTAACTTGTTCCAAAACACTACTTATCAGGTTCTATTGTACTAGAGAGAGCTATGATTGCACTTTAAGAAGCTATTGAATGTCAATTGAGGTCAATTTGGTTTTCAATGAGTCAATTCTGAAATACACAATAATATAATTAAGAGTTAAATCACTTACATGTCTTCTACATACTTCGATGCCACAATGATGGTGGTAATGAGCAACCTATGCACATTCCTCGTACAAAGTCGAAACTCGGGATAGAACTGGCAAAACCGATCAATATAAACATAGGCAACAACATAAACCGATGGTCCGGCTTTAGTGTATCTGAAAATCCTCTCGAGATAGGATTGAATCGTCATGTCCGGTACCTCGTCGCAATCGAAAACCCGAGTTTTAGCATACTTCGGCAATGGCCATTTATTGCAATTTTTGACATTTCTTTCATTCCTAGTCAATGTTCTTTCGATGAGGGAAGCAAGAACAGAGATGACTAATGGGATGTTTGAGTCTTGCTGGTATGAATATGAGTAGAGATCATGTCTTAGTTTTCTTGGAGATATATTGGGGATTGAATTTAAGGCCATTTGGTATACAAATTTGGATTGATAGAGAAGATGGAACAACAGGTTTTGTGTTTATGCAAGTATACAGAGAAGTTTTAAGTGTGATTTATATATAGACATAGAGAGAGGGAGAGAGAGATGGTATAAGTGAAATATAGTAAATTAAACTTGGGGGCATTTGGAAGGTAGTAGGAAGGGAGGATGATATCAAATTTCAAGATATTTGCCTCCTCATTGTAAAGGCAATGTCTAGACACCAGCTTGCATTCGGCTTTAAATTAATGCTGGATCACATTTAATATTAATATTAATAAGCAATATGTAAAATTTTTTACCCACTACGTTGTCTTATTTGCAACACTAGTAATAAATTTTCTCCAACATTTTACTACGGTAATAATCGAGGCTCGACCAACAGTTTTGATGATAATATGACATGTTGATAATTTATTTTCTCGTAACATAAATAAATAACTCAAATTGAGATTTTTTTTTAATGAAAAAATTCGTAGTCGCTACCTTTTGAATGTGCGCTGAATAAACTTTCGAATTAACTGCAAATCGAGATTTTTCTTTTATCTTTACAAAACACGAACGGCGAGTAAATAAGTTATTTTGACTTTTTACCAGCCGCCGACAGTGGGTTGAAATCAAGTATAGAAAGGCAAGCATTGAAATCTGTTAGGTCTTCAGATGGGTCCCTCATCATTAAAAAGTCTTGAGATTTGTGTCAAATTAATTTCAGATTGATTAAGTACAAGTTGCACGTGCAGTGCCCCAAATAAAATTTCTTGCGGGTACAAGGATTTCGTTGGAAACCTCGTGTGACTTTCTCCACTTTGTAATCGGACAAGTTGATTTAAAGGTTTCAAAACAAACTTATATAGAACTATTGCAACACTTATCAAAGGAGTCGTTTCCCAATCGAGAGCTACTTTACCATATTTCGAGTTCAGTGATTTTAATGAACCTCTATAGTATTTCGTTTTGGACCATATCTAAAATTGTTCTCAATTATTTGTGTAGCCATTAATTTTATTGTATTAATTCAGATATGTTGACTCTCTATCATTCTATTGTAAATAAACGATTTTATCATAGATCCATTGAGATCTCGTTCAATTTGAAGTAGCCAAATAAATAAGATGTCAACTCGACCTAAAAAGGATTCTAAATTAGCCATCTTTGTAGATGATTCAGTCTAGTTTAAAGTTACATAATATTAATTATAAATATGTTAAACCGTTAAATAAATAAAAATTTGATAAGAAAACTTGTGAGACTTAACATGTCCATTTGAAAGAAGAATATAGGTACCGGATCAAATCAAGTACGGTTTTGTACAATATCACGAGTACCAAAAATTTTGACAATAAAAGTATTGGGCCCACTCATACAGGGTGTACGATATGGCCCTGTAATAACTTATTAGGCCCAAATATTATTTTATTTTGTGGAAATTATAACCTACCCAAAGTTCTAAAATACCTAATTCAAAAATCAGATTTGAAAGTTTTTTGTTCAAAAATTAGATAATAATTTAAAATATTTAATACTATAAAATTAAATTAATTTGCCTCCAATACACCCACACACACCTTGCCTCCCACCCCACCCCCACCCAATCCCACAACGTCTACACAATCGATTATGTACGGAAAATATTGAAACCGTAGTATCGGGACTGTCTGTTTTGCTGCTTTTGTTGTATAGAATTCAAAGGGATCACATAGGAAAAGAACAAGAATTACAAAACCTTAGGGAAACCCTAACTACTAACTGATCCTCCAATCAACCCCCTCTTGTTCAATTAATTAATGTTAAAGAGGATGAATCGAAATATAGCCACTACACCACCAAAGAAGGGTCCATAACTTCTATTCAAATAGTTTATGTACCTCAAATTCAGGCATTTCATTTCTTTTAATTATGTGATTTTCGTTGGAATTTGACTTAAGACCAATAAGTTGATTCGAGATCTCGCAATCAACTTCTTGGCCTAAAAAAGTAATTTTTCTCGATAAAGTCGATTGATTAAGGTAAAATTGCTATCCATCTTCTCTTCGTAGAATTTCCATCAACTCTATATTTCGATACATCCTCCTTTTTCACCTAATTCATTGTTCCAAAATATTTTTTGCTGCCTCATTTTCCACTTCACTCTACACCCGTTTGATAGCAGGCCTCTCAGAACTTGACACCACTTCTACCATCGTATTTGAAATTCCCAGAATGACCTTGAGTTCCTCGACGTTTCCGTCTAACTCCTTGCATCTCTCTCTATCTTCTCATTGGCGCAACGACTGCGAGCTCTACAAGTAAACAAGGTGGCTAGTTGCTTTTGCGATGCGCCTAGTTGCTACAAACTTGCAATGAGCAGCCTTTCGATTCTTAATCTGATAGCGGTGTCAAGCTGGATTTTTGGTTTCAGATGAGGAGAGGGGTTGCAACAACATTCCGATTTTGGATTTGATCTGAACACGACTGCACTACCACGGACGTTTTGATTCTGATAATGGCATTTGTGGTGATGGCAAAGTATCGGATCTTTGTCACCACCTCTAATAAACTATTATTGTCAACTTCAAAACCACCACCACCTCAACCCCTTTCATTTGGTACCATGGTGGATTGGGGTTACGTGGTGGGATTAAGAGTATCTGTGACCAATTATTTGAGTTTGTAACCAATTGGATATTTTGTGATAAAAATATAACATGCGATGATGCGAATGATAAATTGTAATCAATAAATAATATGTGATCTAGAATTTTAAGTTGTAACTTGTAAAATTTATAATTTGAGATCCATAATATAAATTGTGATCGATAAATTTTTTGATTTGTGACTATGAAATAATTTGCGACTTATAAAAATTTTTGTTTGTGACTGAGAAATAATTCGATAATTTGTGACCAAATTCTATAGAATTGCGACCTTAATATATTTAATTAATAAAATATATTTTTAATTAATTACTTTTATAAATAAATTTTAATAATATTTGATTTTTGAAGAATTAAACTTTGTCTCTCAATTTTGAAATGGATCATAGTTAATCCCTTAGATATCAAATTTTCCCTTTTATTTTACATTGCTTTTAGACCTATTCTACACAATCAACGGGTTCCTGTTTGATTGAGTTTGTGACAACGAAAAAGGCCAAATTTGCAATTATTGGATATGGATGTTTTATCCATCTAACTTGGTTTCGAGATTCAATGCACCAACAATTTTGTACAATTTTTTTATTTTTATTCTTTTTTCTCATTTTGCTGGTAAAGAAAAGCTTTAGGACCAATTTATTATTAGGAGAGAATTGAGAATTCTTTACCAGTTATCTCGATTCTCGATCGATTCCAAAATATGATTTTTTTCTAAAGAAGGTGCAAGATCGGCTACTCATGGACTAGTTGTACATCACAATCACAATCAATATTAAAAAAAATAATTACTGAATTGACTTACGAAATCTGAGTGGCATGATTTATAAGTTTGACCACTCCGTTAATACTATAGTATAACTAATGAAATTGCCCCCCGAGGCATAGCCCAATGGTGTAAAGGATGAGAGTGGGGTTATCTCACGCCTTGTTGATAGTCGCATTGTGGGGGTTCGATTTCTGAGACATGGAATTGGACTCCTTGTAGGCGCAGTGTACAGACAGCTCTTGTTCCCTGACCTACTGTGGCACATCTCGCAATTTACCTCCCTCACAAAACTCTAGGAGTGGGGCGGTGGAGGCCCTCAAGATTGGGGTTCAACTTTTTTTTTTTTTTTTTTTTTGTATTAATAATTAAAATCATTATTATTTTTTTTACTACAAAACGAAGACTAAATCATATTTCGTTCACAATTAGTGTTATTGGCGTAAATTCTCCCTTTCAGTTACTTGACTGCTCTACATGGGCCGAAGGAGCCCATCAACGTTGATTGCAGTACTTTACATGTTGTTCATAAGGTCCAAAATAGATTTGGGCCCAGTCCATTCAAACGTGGGTTGCTATAAAGAGTAGAGGGAAAAAAGAAGATATAACTAAAATAAAGAAAAATGCATACAAAAATGAAAAATACCAATTGATGGCTACACTTTTGAAATGGGATTCTTTTTTCTTTTCTTTTTTTTAATCACAGATTCGTTGTAGAATATGTTCTAAATTCTTAATTCATTGAAACAATCGAAACATCCGTCGAGAATGCAATCCAAGTAACCGATCGAGATTCAATCGCATTATTACCATCTTCACCACGCATTTCAATCAAACTATTGTGAGCGTTCAATTTTAACTGTTTTTATTATTAGTCTCCTGATATTAAAAAAAATAATAATAATAAAAATGAATAAAGAGTTTATTAGGTGTACGTTATGCTGCAGAAGTTGTACATTTTTACCAGGCTCTTGGATTCTTGTCCACCTGCGCTGCACAATTCAAACAAACCGTACTTTAGCTTTGGAGTTTAATTGTTTTTATTACAACAATGCTATAAATACAGAATTTTTTGACAAAAAAATTTACTGACAAAATATGGCACGATATCATTGAAAGATGACAAAAAAAGCAAAAAAACATTTCAATTATGTTTTGCCACATTAGTGTCCGTACAAGTTCCATTAAAATTTTTCTGTACTCGTGACTTTATTGTTTTTATTATTGGTCTCCTGATAAAA